CCCTTCACCCAAACCAACCACATCAACCACAACTCCACCTCCATCCCCTCAACCTCTTCCAAATTCACCGATTCCCTCACCCAAGAAATCTCCTTCACCAAAACCACCCTCACCTAAACAACCATCACCCTGTCACCAGTTAACCCCCATCAGAAGCCGCTCACCATCACCTCCTCCTTCACCCCAACATCAGAAGACCCCCGCTCTGCAAGCTTCACCTCATCAGAGCTCACCCCAACAGAGATCCAAAGCTGCTTCACCTACTCCTCATCAGAAATCCTCCAAACCTATCTCTCCACAACACTCTGCTGCATCCACTCAAAAGAGAGCACCAGTAATGAGGATTCCCTCCTCAACTGAAGATAATGATGGATTTCTTACATCCTCATTGGCTGGGGATCTCCAATCTAACAAGAGGAAGACACCTACACCTCCTCCATCTCCTGCTCAACCTCAACCTCGGATCAATGAAATGCCACAGCCAACGCCTCCAAAAGCTGTCCTCATCCCATTCCAGGAGTTTGTGGAATCAGCTGAAGATTTTGGAGATCAGATGATTGCTGGACTGAACAAAATGCTTGTATTGAATCAGAAGCATGATGCTCATCTTGATTTGGTTCAGTACAACATCGAGTCTGAACTTGCCAAGATTTCCACTACCCTATCTACACTGGCAACTACCTTCCTGAGTTACATGAAATCATCCAATGAGAAGGTAGATAACATAGCCTCAGAGGTGGCCAGCATCCATACGGTCCTCTTCTCACAATCTCTGACTCTTACTACTCAAGACAGGGCCATTCAGGAGCTGTCTGATGCTGTGGATGATCTTCAATGGTCCTCTGATAAGCATGCTGAGCACCTAACAGATGTAGAGGACATCTGCAAAACCTTGAAGGAATTTGACATCAAGCTGATAAACAGTGGAAAGGACAGAGATCACAAGCTGACTCTCCTTGAAGCTACTACCAAGGATATCCAATCTGCTGTAGATAAATAGAAGGAAATCATTGAAGGGCTGGCCTCTGTAACCCAGACTCTGCCAGGTGCCCTTGAAGTCATAAAGGAGAATCAGGCCACTGAATTGTCAAAGATTGCACTCCTGCTTGGTGATCTTGCTGATGCCAAAAAGGGGGAAGATACCAGAGATACAGAAGGTTCAAGCTCCAGAGCTCTGACAGTCACTCCTGTTGTTGACCCGGCAATATACTTTGAAAGAGCAAGGCAGAAAAGGCTAGCTGCAGGCATCCAGAGACCTCTTCCTCCTCGATCCAAGAAGGGAAAGAAAACTGCCTCCACCTTCACTCTGGCCCAATGGCTCAACAGTGATCTAGCCAAGCCTGATGCCGCCCAGTTCCAAGAAATGAAGAAGCATATGACTCCTCTACAACAGGAGAATCTTATTTTGGATAAAGATGGGCTGATTATCATAAATCATGGTGGCTCAATGCAAGAAGCAGAAGATTGGTGGCGAATGAAAGTGATCCCTGGCAATGACATCACAGAGGCCATCAGAAACTACCTGGACTGCAAACTCGAACCTCAATGGCATGAGTGTCAGACTCCAAGAAATCTGGCCTCTATCAGAGCCAAGGTAAATGCAGAGCTAAAGAAATGTGAAGAAGCTGAAAGAAGATTAGAAGAGGAAGATTTCTAAACTCTATCCTCTTGTTGCTCTAAATACCTTCTTTCAACTATATGAAATAACCAGCTTGCCTCTAATTTGCATGGCAATATCAATTTATGTGTCTTTTACTGCTTTATAATTGCTTAAATATTTGCATGATTGATTGTATCGTACTCTTACTATTTTCCTATACCAACTGCCCACCAAGATCTTAAATGAAATTTTTTATTATTTTCCTTTATGGTGAAAGGCACTTCTCTGGAAATAGTTTAAGGGTTTTGGCATCATCAAAAAGGGGGAAATTGTAAGGAATAAATGTAATTAGATTTTGATGATGCTAGGATAATTAGATTAGAACTTTAAAGTACCCCAATTAGATTTTATGTATTAGAATTTTTCTGTTGTAAGTATTAGTACAGTCAACTATCAGAGTTGCTATGTGGATCTGATCAGAGCTGCTATATGAGAACTGCCTTCAGAGTCGCTCTCGGAAGTCATGAGAGTTGCCCATCAGAGAACCATTAGAATTGCTCTTCAGAGACTCATCAGAAGTCTACATCAGAAAGACATCAGAGTTCGATGAAAAAGCTTCATCAGAATCCAACTCCAGAGAAGTATCAGAGTTCCTCATATAAGTCCATCAGAGTCCAAGGTCAGAACTTCATCAGAGAATCTCATCAGACTTGGACGAACACTTAGAAGAACTCGAAGCTGCTTTCAACGGCCGTATACCAAACGGGAAATTCCCTAACGGTTAGAAGATATTTCATCTAAGGAAAGCATTTAATGCTCATTTAATGAGCCTGATACGCTAAGGAGTAATTGCAGATGATTGACCGAGATTTCTGGAAGATATACTATAAAAATAGAAAGCTTCCAAATTAGTGGGTCAAGTCAACAGTACGCGCATTTAATGCAGTTGTCTTCTCCTCCAACGGGCAGACAACCCCAGTATATAAGCTACACGCTGAAGAACAGAAAGATAATTTTGCACACTTCAACTGTAACACCCCGGGCCCGCAGGACCCGAGGTAGTTACTCTGGACCAATAGTACTGTCCCCACAAACCACCACGAGCCTTTACCGCGCACTTTGTCCTCACTCATGCGCGCCCTGAGAAACTTCCCAGGGGGTCACCCATCCCAAGACTACTCCCGTGCAAGCACGCTTAACTTGGGAGTTCTTGGGTGATGAGCTCCCTTAAAAGGAGATGCACCTCTGTTGGTATGAGTAGTACTATTAATCCGTTTATATTAAATCTCAAGTGTTACAATCACCCCCACTTAGGATCGCAACGTCCTCGTTGCGCCCTTAAACCAATCTCAATCAAATCCCAGAAACTTTTCCCCTGCTAGGTGTTTGCCCGATATCTAACGGATCAGCACACTGTCGCAGGGTTGCTCTGATACCACCTGTAACACCCCGGCCCCACCGGACCCGAGGTAGTTACTCCGGACCAATAGTACTGTCCCCACAAACCACCACGAGCCTTTACCGCGCACTTTGTCCTCACTCATGCGCGCCCTGAGAAACTTCCCAGGGGGTCACCCATCCCAAGACTACTCTCGTGCAAGCACGCTTAACTTGGGAGTTCTTGGGTGATGAGCTCCCTTAAAAGGAGATGCACCTCTGTTGGTATGAGTAGTACTATTAATCCGTTTATATTAAATCTCAAGTGTTACAATCACCCCCACTTAGGATCGCAACGTCCTCGTTGCGCCCTTAAACCAATCTCAATCAAATCCCAGAAACTTTTCCCCTGCTAGGTGTTTGCCCGATATCTAACGGATCAGCACACTGTCGCAGGGTTGCTCTGATACCACCTGTAACACCCCGGGCCCGCAGGACCCGAGGTAGTTACTCTGGACCAATAGTACTGTCCCCACAAACCACCACGAGCCTTTACCGCGCACTTTGTCCTCACTCATGCGCGCCCTGAGAAACTTCCCAGGGGGTCACCCATCCCAAGACTACTCCCGTGCAAGCACGCTTAACTTGGGAGTTCTTGGGTGATGAGCTCCCTTAAAAGGAGATGCACCTCTGTTGGTATGAGTAGTACTATTAATCCGTTTATATTAAATCTCAAGTGTTACATCAACATTCAAAAAGCTCACTTGAGATTCAAACTCCATAATCATCAACAAGACAAGCTTACGTTGGGAAGATTCAAATCTCCATATCCTCCAATCCCAACACACAGCAAAGTTCATCCTGTTCTTCAACCTTCAAGGACTTCAACTACATATCTTTTGTAACGAAGCAAGTTGGAGAAAACTCTGTTCTTAAAACAGCTTCTATAAGGAAGGACGTCCAAGTAACTGCAGTAGTGAAGTGGTGATACTTCCGGGAAGCTGAGTGAAAGGACCAGTCATCAGGAAGCAGGACTGCATCCCGGGTGACAACTAGACTTGAAGAAGGCGTGGAGAACTTCTTAAGTGCTAGGGACTACGCTTTGTAACTGTTTACTTCAAAGCTAGTGGAACAATGGACTAGAGGAACGCGTTGTTCCTTGAACCACTATAAAAACCCCGGTGTCATTTACTTTACTGCACTTTAATTTCTGCACTTAGGACTAAACTGATTAACTCTAAGACTTGGAATCTGTGTTCAGCAGATCTTGTTTTCAGAGTTATCAGAAAGGCACTTGCCTTTGTATTTGGCTGAGGCTACCCGGAACTCTTATCCGCTGCAAGACCAGTTCTGATCATCAGAACTCGACCATCTCTGACAAGTCAACTCTGACTTAAAGAAAAGTTGAAAAACTTCAATCAGTCTATTCACCCCCCCCCCTCTAGACTGATTACCAACTCAAACGGGACCAACAACAACAACAACAACAACAACAACAACAACAACAACAACAATAATAATAATAATAATAATAATAATAATAATAATAATAATAATAATAATAATAATAATAATAATAATAATAATAATAATAATAATAATAATAATAATAATAATAATAATAATAATAATAATAATAATAATAATAATAATAATAATAATAATAATAATAATAATAATAATAATAATAATAATAATAATAATAATAATAATAATAATAATAATAATAATAATAATAATAATAATAATAATAATAATAATAATAATAATAATAATAATAATAATAATAATAATAATAATAATAATAATAATAATAATAATAATAATAATAATAATAATAATAATAATAATAATAATAATAATAATAATAATAATAATAATAATAATAATAATAATAATAATAATAATAATAATAATAATAATAATAATAATAATAATAATAATAATAATAATAATAATAATAATAATAATAATAATAATAATAATAATAATAATAATAATAATAATAATAATAATAATAATAATAATAATAATAATAATAATAATAATAATAATAATAATAATAATAATAATAATAATAATAATAATAATAATAATAATAATAATAATAATAATAATAATAATAATAATAATAATAATAATAATAATAATAATAATAATAATAATAATAATAATAATAATAATAATAATAATAATAATAATAATAATAATAATAATAATAATAATAATAATAATAATAATAATAATAATAATAATAATAATAATAATAATAATAATAATAATAATAATAATAATAATAATAATAATAATAATAATAATAATAATAATAATAATAATAATAATAATAATAATAATAATAATAATAATAATAATAATAATAATAATAATAATAATAATAATAATAATAATAATAATAATAATAATAATAATAATAATAATAATAATAATAATAATAATAATAATAATAATAATAATAATAATAATAATAATAATAATAATAATAATAATAATAATAATAATAATAATAATAATAATAATAATAATAATAATAATAATAATAATAATAATAATAATAATAATAATAATAATAATAATAATAATAATAATAATAATAATAATAATAATAATAATAATAATAATAATAATAATAATAATAATAATAATAATAATAATAATAATAATAATAATAATAATAATAATAATAATAATAATAATAATAATAATAATAATAATAATAATAATAATAATAATAATAATAATAATAATAATAATAATAATAATAATAATAATAATAATAATAATAATAATAATAATAATAATAATAATAATAATAATAATAATAATAATAATAATAATAATAATAATAATAATAATAAAATAATAATAATAAGTTAGGAGGATTTTAATATATTATTTTGGTGAATTGTCGAAGTACGGTAAACTTAACAAACCAATTATTTGGCCTAAGATGTATGACTGACTGTTGTTATAATCAGGCTAAATATTGAATTTGATTAAATGTATTACCAAAGGTAAAATTAAATGGATTTACAACAGAATTAGCATATGTTAATAGTATGATATTGTAATTCGTCAATCAGATATACTAAGCATAATTACATAATTTGGCTACTTCAATTAAGATAGTTCGGTCATCTTACAATAGAATTGTTCATAAGATGCCTTACAACATTTTTCAAGTTGTTGAATTACAAGTAGAATCTGGATGAACTAAGTGGACATTTTGAATGTTTTATAATACCTCTAATTCGGCCAGTTCAATTGAATTTAGACTTCTAATCGATTGAACTAAATGGATTAGAATTGGAGCATCAGCTATTACTACGGAGTATTTTCCTAAAAGATTATTATGAATCGGCTACTGAAAATAATGTAACATTTATAACGTAACTAGTAATGGCCTAAACTCAAGTAAATGGGTATCGATGGTTTATAGAGTTTTACTAATTGCTAAATTCGCAAACTGCATTATAAAGATTAACTGAAGTTACTTAAAATAAATATTACGGAGTAAATAAGTAATAGAAGTAATAAAATAATGTAGGAGGGGAATGGGATAATTATAGAATAAAGGACTAATTGTATACTCTTAATTAAAAAGGTGACTATTTAGAGACTGAAGTAGAGGACGTGAACTAGGGACTCCTGAGTTAAGGTAAGTTTCTCTGCCGATCCAAAATGTTTTCCTCGTATTATATGTGTATTATGTTGTGTGTGATCATGTTTTGAGTTATGAATATGTGTTATTGGGATATTAAATATTTTTGAGACTGTTTAGAGAGATTGAGAAATATTTTGAAGTGTATCTTGATTCAAGATAAAATGAATGTTTTTCATAAGAGGTAGGCACCGCGGGAGTAATCCGAGGTGTTGGTTTTCCACGTCCCTTAAAATGTGGAGAGTGGTTAGGGTTGCTACTACTAAGAAGTACAGTTTGAGTTTGAGTGACATTCGGATCTATGATCCCTTTTTTAAGAAGAAGTTGTAGTAGTCCCTAATCATTCAGAAGTATCTTAAAGGTGGGGTAGTTGGTAGACTAAGTCCCGACTACTCGTGACGACTTACTACTCGGAGGGCTTGGAATCCCTTTTAGGGGGTGTGCACACTTAAGGTAGTCGTTTCGTTTCCATTAGCAGTTGTGGTACCGGCAAAAGTCCCGGGGTGGCCGTACATAACAACGTAACCACCGGGCTCAACCAGAGTGTTGAGCACCGCCCTTCTAAATTACTAGGAAGATAGAGAAGAAGTGAATTTTGAGAAATCCTAAGAGGAGAGTTACTATAATATTTTCAAATAAAAGTTGAGGACTTGTATTAAAGAAGTGATTTTGAGAAATATCGAAGAGAAAAGAATTTTGGTGGAGTGTGTCATTTTTATAGTATTATATGAAAAACTATTTTCACCAAACCTGATTATTTTACGGGGTTGGGTAGTACTTACTTAGCTCTAAAGCTAATTTTTGTTATTTTTGTGTTCCTTTCTCCTCCCTTAATTTTGAAACAGGTGATGGGTTGGATGCTTATGTTGGTTGATGTCTGTTTGAGCCCGAGAGCGTTCTAGAAGATACCTTAGTCAAAAGTAGTCTGGATTAAACATTTTATTTATGTTACGAACTCATAGATTAATCATTACTGTTTTTTTTTTATTTTGCCTGTGCATCCGGCTATGGTCGGATGTGGCGGTAACACCTTCTTATTCCAAGACTTCCGCTGTTTTTCTTCAATTATATTATGAATGAATAAGGATTTTATTTCAAATATATCAATCTTTTGGGTGAGAAATTTGGGGGTGTTACAGGGTTCCGGTGACAAAGAATAATGTTGCTGCCTCTACCTCAAAGCCCACTGTCCCAAAGAAAATGCCTTACAAGGTTACTGCACCCAAACCGGATGAGGTCGCCCTCAAAACAAAACCGGTGATTAAATTTCCTAAGAATGGTAATGTGAGATTTGATGACCTAGGTGGCCGGGTTATTACCAATGTCCACGAGTTGAAAAGGGGGGAAGTGATCACTCAGATTGACTATGATGAGAACAAGAGAAAGAATGTTTATGGCATGATGCCGAATGATGTCCCGAGGCATCACAAAATTTCTAGAGTTGGGGATGATCTACAAAGGGTGGGTTTGGAGAGTCAATGGATCTCTTTCACGTATGAGTGCATAAGCGAGATTCCGGGCGTCACAGCAAACTCAAGAACCCAGTGGTATGATTTCAAAGACAATATCTTTTACAATTACATGGCTTCTTTCTTCGATGTCACTACCAGGGACAACAAGAAATATGCCATCGAGAAAGCTAGAAGAAGGAAAGCGCAAGAGGGAAAGGATGCAAAGGGTAAAAGGACTGATGTGGCTAACAAGGAGGACGGTGATAAGTCCATATTTAGACACGCATTTGATGCGTGTTCGGGTCGGATTTTGATGGTTTTCCTGGCTTTAAGGCGTTGCAAGTCTCAATTTTAGCTCAAGTTATGTTTACCGGGCGTTGGTTCGAGTTTTGTGTTGTTTGTAGTCAAAATCAGGGAATTTGAGTCCGGCACTTGAGGAACAATCGGGATGGTTTGAGAAGCATTTGAGAATGATTTTATAGCTTTGGAGGTCACCGGAAGATTCACGATGAAGATTTGAAGGAAAAAGAGCTCTAGGATTGGCTACGGGGTCAAAAGAAGATGAATGAAGCTTGAAAACGACGATCAGGATGACCTTCTGTCAATCGTTCAAGCATATCTCTTTTTAGAAACATCCAATGTACACGATTCAAGTTCCATATGAAAGCTAACTTCAAGGGCTACAAATGATATGAAGACACCTTTGCGAGAATCTGAGAGGAAGAAGGTGAAAACAGACGATGAAGTCAGATGATCTCTGCTGCGATTTCAGAAAGACACACTCCACCGTTTTGATCATATCTCTTGATTGGATGATTCAAATCACATTCGGCAAATTGGGGTGGATATAGGAATTCATTATCTACAACTTTCATGAAGGAGGTTTTGTCAAATTCGGAAGTTAAGTAGGCACGATCGTGCCCTCAAAGTCAGACACGATCGTGCCTGAAGAGAAAAGCACCGCGGAGCTACTGCCAGCCAGGCACGATCGTGCCTGGAGGGAGACACGATCGTGCCTGCCCAAAATGTGCGTTTTTGCTCCGGAGGCACGATCGAAGGCACGATCGTGCCTGGCATCGTGTCTGGCTCCGAAAATCCTAATTCAGCTCAAATTTGACCCGATTTTTCTATTTAAACAGCCTGTAAACCCCCGTTTTCAAGGGGGAGCTTAGAGAGAGTGCCTAGCACGAATTTTTTAGGGCTTTTCAGCCTTGTTCATCAATCTTTTGGGATTCTTTGTAAGTTCCACCTTTTTAATTAATGACAATTAATTCTTTTTATTCCAATTCTATTGATTCTTCAATTATGAATTGTGAGTAGTTTTAATTAGGGATTTGGGGTTGATGAAGGGGTTAATCATGAATGCGGTTTAATTTGTGTTTGAATAATTTAATTGATATCTCTTGTAACCTAGACTGTAGCTAGAATTACAATTGCATGTAGAATGAATTAAGAGAGATCTAATTTGTTCTAGGAGACATTCACACACACTTAATCGTTCGCTAAGAGATTAGTAGCGATTAAGGGGCCGTAAGCTCGCTCGTTTTGGCAATAATTTAGGATCTTGTCGCATGAGAGATCAGCCTGGACTCCTAAATTATTGTACTCTTCGTCGTGAGAGCGGTAAGAACTTAGTAATGATTAGCCAGGCTCAATTAATTAAATTCATGTAATTAGGCCTGTTCTGCCAGAAATCTGGTTAACCCCGGAATTGATCCCTGTTCCCTTCGTCATTAACTAGAAAGAACCCCCTAGTTTAATTGTTCGCATTAGTTTTATTTTCCAAACCAACCAATCTCGCACGACGCTTTTATTTTGTTTTCTTTTTAATCGCTGAATTTAATTAATTGTTGATTCCCTTTTGTCCGTCCCTGTGGAGACGATACTCGTACTTACACCACTATATTACAATCTTTTTAAGTGCGAGAAAACACACATCAGACGGCCACTCCTCCAACGAATCATGAATTTTAAGGCCCTAGCATGGAATGTGAGGGGATTAAATAGACCCTCCAAACAAGCTACGGTATCTAGTGTTATGCGTATTAATAATATTCGTATTGCATGTTTTTTAGAAACTAAGTTGACTTTTGTAGCTTTCAATAATCTCATGATGAACAAGTGGGCGGGTTGGCACTCCTCCACTAATTTTGATTTGATTACAGGTGGTAGGATGGCTGTCATATGGGACCCCGATTTCTTTGATTGCGCTGTTTTGGAAAGGGGTAAATAGTATATCCATTGTAGATATACTTGTTTGACTACCCAAATTAAATTTCTTATCACCTTTGTGTATGCTCTTTATACTGTGGTGGAACGTAGGACCCTTTGGGAATGCTTATCACAACTTGGAACCCGGATTAATAATCCTTGGTTAGTCATGGGGGACTTCAATTGTGTGTGCTCTCCCTCAGAAAGGATCGGGGCTGCCCCCCCTACGACGTATTTGATGAAAGATTTAATTGATTTTAAGATGCATGCTAATCTTGTGGACTCGCCCTCTACGGGGGTTTTCTTTACTTGGAACAAAGGGCCGCTTTGGGCCAAGTTGGATAGAGTTCTAATGGATCATGTGTGTGTGGGGGGGGGTGGGGGTGGGGGTTAAGGAGATAGATTGTAAGACCTGTTTTGATGACATGGATTCTGATTTTGATCACACGGCTTCTATTGTCTCTTTAGGGCATTGCTATCACCAAAAACCCCGGCCTTTTAATTCTTTAACATGTGGATGGACCATGCTAGCTTTAAAGACGTTGTTGAGCAGGTTTGGGCTACTTATATTGATGGCACGCATCAATTTGCATTGGCTATGAAACTCAAGAAGCTCAAACAGTCACTAAAGCAACTAAATACCTTAGAGTTTGTGGATATTTCGTCCAAATCCAAAGAGGCAAAGAAAGAATTCAAGAGACTGCTTGCCATCACTTTACTTGACCCCTCGGATGGGACTGCCGCGGCCCAGTTGGTTGAGGCTAGGAAAAGGGCCAACTTCTTACATGAAGCGGAGACAAAATTCTACCAACAAAAGCCAAGGCAAACCACCTCCTCAAGGCAGACTGGGGCACGAAGTACTTTCATGCACTGGTTAAGAAGAAAAATGTCACGAATGCCATATCCTCAATCACATTAGATGACGACACCAGTACTAAATCTTTGGAGGAGGTATCTTATTGCTTTGTGAATTTCTTCACCTCTTAATTATGAGAAGTCGAATATCTTTGTGGGGGGGGGGTTGCTGGTTATGAGCTTCATAATATTTTTGGGCCTTGTTGATTTTGAGCATGGGATGGGTCGTTCCCGGTGAAATACTTAGGTATTCCTCTTGCATCGTTAAAGATTTTCGTTGCGCAATACTCTCCTTTATTGGACACTGTCACGGATTTCCTCAACGCGTGGAACACAGAGACCCTTTCTTTAGCCGGAAAACTTGAACTTATCAAATTTGTCATGCAAGGTGTGCAATCCTTTTGGCTTCAAGTCTTCCCGGTTCCTCACACCATTTTAGAGCGCATAATTTCATTATGTCGTATCTTTCTTTCAGGAACCAAATATGCGAAAGTTGTGTGGCTTGATTTATGTCTTCCTAAGGAGGAGGGTGGGCTTGGTATAAGGAACTTTAAAATTTGGAATGAAGCCCTCTTGGCTAAAACTCTTTGGAGTATACATACCAATTAAGGCCGATACCCTTTGGGTGAGATGGGTAAACGGTGTGTATCTTAGGGGGGCCTCGGTGTGGAGTTTTACTCCACACACCCGGGATTCCCAACTCATGAAAAACTTGGCCCGTATTAGAGATAACATCCTAGCCCATTTTTCCTCTTCGATGGAGGCTATCACACATTTGAATTCTTTGTGCATTAATGGTAAGTTGTCATCCTCTAAAGTTTATGACCTTCTTCGGGTCCATGGCACCATTAGGACTTGGATGAGCTTTATTTGGAAGGTTTATATCCCACCAAAGTTCTCGTTTATTACTTGACTCGCCTTCCGTAATAGACTGGCTACAGGGGATAACATTACACATCTCAATCTTGTGAATATTTGCGACTTGTGCAAGGGTGAGCCGGAAACGGCATCACACCTATTTTTTCTTTGTCCCTTTTCTTCTAGGATTTGGACGGCCATAAAGTCTTGGATGGGAATGGAACGACAAATGAAAACTTTATGCAGCTCCATCAAGTGGATCAAGAAGTCATGTAAAGGAGCTCTGGTTCGTTCCAAGGCCATCCGGATCAGTTTCTGCTTCACTATCTACATGATTTGACGAACTAGGAATGCTGCCAGATTTGATGCAGCTCATATGAAGGAAGACGAAGTCATTGATAGGAACAAGCACTTGGTGTACAAAATTTTGTACAATTCTACCCAAGCGATATGATTACCTTTTGATTTTTTGTACTTAGCCCTCTGTTTTGTTTATACTGCGGGCTAGGGCTGTGAACTTATAAGTGAGTGCATCTTGCATCACTTCTTTTTGCTGGGTTGGTTCGATCTGTGTGCGTGCCTTGGGCAGTAACGATGTGTTTGATTTGTGTTGGGAAAACTATCAAATAAGCCCTCGTACTATACCGAAAAAGTCGATTAGACCCTCATACTTTACAAACACTCAATTAAGTCCTCGAACTATTAAAAAACGTTCAATTAAGCCCATTCGGTCGATAAGTAACCGGTTTCCCAGTTAAATGTAACCTGTTTCCCGGCAGCCACCGTTGCTGGGGTTCAAGCACATCGTCGTTGTCGTCGCCGTTTAACCGGAAAACCGGTTACTTACCGACCAAAAGGGCTTAATTGAACGTTTTTTAATAGTTTGAGGGCTTAATTGAGTGTTTGTAAAGTACGAGGGCCTAATTGACTTTTTCAGCATAGTACGGGGGCTTATTTGATAGTTTTCCCATTTGTGTTTCTTGGCCCAGTTTAGATGTGACTGGTTGCCTGATTTAGACTAGATGGGAAACTCTCTCACCCCCCCCCCCTTTGAGGGTGGGGGGTTAAATTTTGGACACTTGCACTTGTTTACTTTGGATGATTATATATATTTACCGGTCATCCAAAAAAACAAAAGATCAGTAGTGGAAACCTTGCCACCCACCTCTTGGCAACCCGTGAATCCGTGTTCGTGGAGTTGAGAAGGTCGTGAATAACTCCGAACTCAGGCGGGTGGAGTGACGTCCTACCAGAAGTCTGTGGGTCATATATGGTGCCGCCAACAGAGATGGAATGCCAGAAAGCTTGTCTTTCAATACTACATATGGAATGCCAGAAAGCTTGTCTTTCAACACTGCATGGCAGGTCAATTAGGCCAGCTAGTTCACGCTCATCGTCCTCTAAGTTCTCGAAGACAATGTGAATCGAGATATTATCGATGGAAAGGAGGAATGACTCACCAAAGGCTCGGAACTTGACCTCCGGGTTGAATTGGTTGGTGGCCTGATTCTTCACATCCATAGAGGACAACACCTCACAAGTCAGCTCCCTATATGTTAAGTCACGAATGCCAAAGAAAAGGTATTGCGGCTATTGCCACCAGCCACGTCGTAACTCGTAACAAATGGAGTGTTTGCTCCTTCAGCTCTGCTTTCTCCGCTATCTCCTCATGTGGGTATATCACTTTTCCTACCTCCTTCTGCATCAGCTCAGTATACTTAATCATCCGCTTGTTGTCCTTAAATTGCACTTGGTATGGTGCCCCCAGTCTACGACCTTCAGGTCAGGGGAGCTGCTAGAACTAGCGTCGACATTATCCCTAGTGTGCTTAGCGGTCTGCTTAGTCCTTTTCATCTGCAAAAATTAATCAAACAAAATTCCAACGGGGCTTCCAAACGGCAGGAACAAACACGATAATTCGAGAACAATAGCCTCGTTAGCAACAACGTAACCAAACACAATCACCAGCAAAACACCTAACCAATTCCAAGCTTAACCAATATAGTTCAAAAGAATTTTTCTACAAGAATCAGATCAGGAAGCGACCCGAAAATATGACTGGGTCACGATCAGCTCAAACCAGTCGGGTCAACTTGGAGAAAACTCGGTCAACATTTATATTTTACTCCCTCCATCCAAGAAAATGCTTATCGATTTGACTTGGATCAGAGTTTAAGAAAGTAGGAACAAAGTGAAAATGCATGGTTGTGGTTGAGTAAGAAAAAGGTAAATGAATGATAGCCACAAAAACCTTTCCAAAAAAGGAAATGAGAAGAATTTTTTGGGACATCACAAAATGATAAGTGAGAAGAATTTTCAGGGACAGAGGAAGTATTGTATATATATAATCATAATAAAAGGTAATTATTTTTCACAATAATCAAATATTAATAATACTAGTAAGCATTGAAAACACACTCGTAATATTATAAATAATAGTTTTAGTCCTTTTAATATTAATATTTTTTTAACCCGGTAGGCAAATCACCAAAATCAGTGGGGCAAATGTCGGGGAACATTTGCCGGATTTTATTGGAGTAAAATTACAAGAAAATTACAAGTAAAATTACAGTACAATTAGCCGAAAACAAATAAAACAAGGAAAAAGCTAAAATCTAAATGCTCTTACTATTAATAATATTATTTGATATTTGTTATATATACATCTTTAAAATTAACTTGACATGTCTATGTTTTGGGGATAAATACTCAAATATTTCATATGCTTTTTTCAAAAATAAATACTACCTCCGTCCCATAAAACATGGCCAACTTTCCTTTTTTGGCTGTCTTAAAAAACTTTTCCATTTTCATTTAACGTGGCAAATATGTGACTAAAGTTATTTCTCTATCTTCTGCAAAAATATAAATCACACAGTTTTTAATTTATTAATCTACGTGCAAGTCAACATTTGTCAAGTTTTATGGGATGGAGGGAGTATTAACAAGAATATAGTATAATTACAATTTGAGAAATTAAAGACTATTACAACCCAGCCATTGGCAAAGTAAAGTGGAACACCCAATTTGGCGTCAAAGATCTAGAACACGTTTACTTAAAAAAAAACACGTTTTTTAGAACACGATTACTTCACATGTTACTAAACTGTGCTTATTAAGACCCGCGTTAATAAGCGGCGCATAAAATAAGCAGTGATGTAAGCTAATGTTTACTTCAAAGGATTTAAACACTGTTTAACATTAAAATGTCCAAAATAATCCTATACATAAATAGACACACAAACATTCATGTACATAAGTATATAATATAATACGTGGGGGCCACCTCGTATGCGTCCATACCCCTACCCCTCTACCCCCGCTACCCCTACCTCTATCCTGCACCGTACCCCCAATTCCACACCTTACCCCTTGACCCCTACACATTTCCTACACCTACCCCAACTACGACCGTACCCCTACCCTTACTCCCCTACACATTCAGAAAGTCACTCTGTCAAACAACATCTTCATCAAAAGTTCAAAATCAAAGACATGGTCCCTTGAGATTTTTCTTAGGTCTTGAGGTTGCTAGGTCTAAGAAGGGGATAGTTCTTAGGCTTTGTTTGCAACCATTTGTGCTTAAATAAAAGCACTTTTTGGGAAAAAGTGATTAGTAGTAAAAGTTGGTAGTGTTTGGTAAAACAAGTGTTTTTTGTGTAATAAAAAAAGTAAAAAGTAAATTCTACACGAAAACCGAGATAGTAAAAGTTGGTAATGTTTGGTAAAATAAGTGTTTTTTTCTTTAAAAAAAAGCCAAAAGAGATTGCAAACAGAGCCTTAATCAGAGGAAGTACTTCTTAGAACTCATTGATGAATCAAGACTCCTTGGTTCTAAACCAGTATCTACTGTACATCTGCTGATCCTTCTATTAAACTTCATGCTGATGAGGGCACTTAATTAAAAGATCCTGCTTCATTCAGAAGACTCGTTGACATACTTCTCTATCTCACTAATACCAGACCGGATATTAGTTTTTATGTTCAACAGTTAAGCCAATTTGTTTCAACACCAAGAGAACCTCATATGCAAGCAGGACTAATTGTAAAATATCTCAAAGGATCACCAGGTCTTGGATTGTTCTATCCTTCTGACAATTCACTCAAAATTCAGGCTTTTTCAGATTTTGATTGGGCCAGTTGCATCACAACTCGAAGATCAGTCACAAGCTATTGTATTTTTGGGGCACTCCTTAGTTACTTGGAAGTCAAAGAAACAATCTACTGTATCTAGATCCTCTCCTGAAGCAAAATATAGAGCTTTAGCTTCACTCACTTGTGAATTACAATGGCTAAAATTCCTTTCTGACAGTCCATTTGCTGGCATACCAACTCCTTTCACCATTTTTTCAGGGGAAAAGGGGCAAATAAGCCCTCGAACTAATCAAAAAAGTGCAAATAAGCCCTTTTGTAGAAGATTCTGTCCGATCATCGTAATTTGGGGAGGTTCTCGGTGGAATTTTTTGATGAATTTTTTTGAGCATCTTCTTCGTTAAGTCTAGTTTCGCCATACCGAATTTCAGCTAAAAATTCAACCGGGAAAGCACTCAAATGATTTTCGGAAATATACTGCGTTGTTTAACTGCGCAGTTATCTTCAAAAATTCATTTGACTGTCTTCTCGGTTGAATTTTTAGTTGAAATTCAGTAGAACTAAACTAGAGTTAATGAATAAGATGCTCAAAAAATTTCATCAAAAAATTTCACCGTGAACCTCCCCAAATGACGATGACCGGACGGAACCTCCTACAAAAGGGCTTATTTGCACTTTTTTTATTAGTTCGAGGGCTTATTTGCCCCTTTTCCCTTTTTTCAGATTGCCAATCTGCAATTGTCATAGCTAAAAATCCAATTTTCCACGAAAGAATGAAAAACATTGAATTTGATTGTCACCTCATTCGGCTCAACAAGGCATACTGCACTTACTCCATGTTTCATCAGCAAATCAACTTGCAGATGCTTTTACTAAATCTTTTCAGCTAGTTATATCCAAGTTGGCTCTGTTCAACATATATGACCCAACCTGAGAAGGGGTATTAGTTATATTTTGTTAAGTCGGTTTGTAAAAATAACCTTCGTTAGTTAGCTAATTGGATATCAGTTGGTTAGATTGGCTTTCTGTAAGTAGTGTAAATAATCATTGTTGTAATACATAGCAATTCATAATGAGAATACTTCTTTACATTGATTGATGTTTCCTCAATCGCTAATATAGTTCCGCCACTGAGTATTAGCTGTCTTTTATTCCTTCTCCATGTGATCCCTTCTTTTGTAAAGTGTAATTGAAAAATACTCCCTCCATAACATATATATGTTCCCATTTGAAAAGTAGGTAGATTAAGAATAGTGAAGGAGGATATAAATTATTGAGGGTATGATGGGAAGATAGTGAAATAATGTGTTGGAATGAAGGATAAATCCAAAAAAAGTAGGTGTAATAGTGTATTATTTTTAAAATTATTGAGGGTATGATTGGAAGATTATGAAATGGGAAGATATGAATGTTACATCCAAAAAAGGAAAGTGGGAAGATATAAATGTTACGGAGGGAGTATTCGTTAATATGGGATAATAGCATTTGCAAAAGGAATAGAGAGTGAGAGAATCTTCTCCCGTTCGCAATGGAATATATAGTTTATTTATACGGAGTATTTGACAGTTCGTACATTTTTGTGTATCGATATTATTATTACGTTTGGTGAGAGCTATAGACTGCGCCTAAGGCAATTATGAAGGCTTACTTTGGTTCCAAACAATGAGAAAATATGGACACCTTTATGTGTGACTTAAGTGTAGTATAATTTTTTTTTGTTTTAAAATTTATTTTTATATTCTAACTAATTCTTTTTTAAAGAAACATTAGGTCATTTTGGTAGATAGTTATTTTACGTTTTAGCAATGCAGAACTCTGGAGATCGAAACGGGGTGCGCGCGCGTCACAGAACTGTGTAAAACTCAAAAGAAATACGGAGTACTACATAAGATATAACTAGATGGGCAATTGGGCGTGTTAGTTATTTTTATAGAATTTTGTGCGAAATCCAATATTAAAACAACTTTTCGATCGCCTTTATCCACTTTTACATACTTTTTATTCTACGTACTTTATAATCTTCTAACCAAATCATTCCCTCCAAACAGACCCTAATGAATTTTGGGATATGAAATGAACACACACTATAAACAAAAGCTCTTGTTCCCGAATCCTAGATAGTCTGCTGAGAAATGACGCAAAGGATCATGGGTTCATATATCAAACAATTAGCGTAAGAATCATATACATTATGCTCACTTAAATCATATATACGGAGTATATATTAGCAACTTGCATGATCAAATATTAACCTCAAACTCCATCCACAGCACGTTGATGCTATAAATTAAACAAACTTCCATATTCATTCTACCCTTAGCTTAACCACACCCAACCCATAATACATCCAAACTATAATTTCATGCCTTGGAGTTTCAAGGGGCTCTTCCCCAAAAAGAAGCTATTGAAGCTCTTCTCCACCACTATCCCCTTCAAGCTTCGTAGCCTCAACAGATCCAAAGTCATCAAGAAGCCAAATAAGGCCTCTTTGTTCCCCAAAACTACCAAGAAAGGTGGTTCAGGCTGGAAAAAGAAAACCCGGGGAAAGCGCAACAAGTTCATTTGGTTCTTACCCATTGGCAAAAGACCCAAATTTCTCAAGAAGCGGCCCGCGCCCGTTTATATCGACCAGCTATTTGTAGGCCCCGGGCCTACTCAGGTTACGGGATCGATGAAATCCGCGACAAAGTTCAAGGAAGCTGAGGTCGTTGCTCCTGATCAAGAAATATGCATGGCTGTTGCTTCTAGTAGTAGCATCAGGCACTATGATGTTGACAAAAGACCAGCCGAGGCCGATGATATGTGGGAAGCCGTTGTACTGGCAGAACCGGAGATGCACAGAATAGACGAGAGAGCAGAGGAGTTCATATCCAGATTCCATGCCGAGATTAAGCGCCAGAAGACTTCTAATGAGCACTTGTAGGCTTGTAGCTGTTATTTGATCTCCTACCAACAGGATTTAACGTAGGAGAGTTGTGTACATGGTTTATATTGTTTGCCACTTCTTATTGCAAAATGCAATTCTCTTTCAAGTACTTTTTCACTATACCATGTCAGATATTATCTTTCTCCAATTAAAATTGGACAAGATTTTGGCACAAATATTATGGGACACTGTAAAAACATGTGTGACCGTAAGACAACGCACACTAATTTTACGTAGGGGTAGGAACCAGTCCAGCGGTCCAAACCCATCTAGAACTAGATCCAGTACTGTTTGGGACCAAACCGTGTCCATTTTTTCGATCCCGGGTCAAGAACATGTATCGACCGGGTAAAAGCAGTTATAGTACCAGGTTCCAATAGTTGAGAGAATATTTGAGACCAAACCGGGCAATTCCGGTCCCGGTTTCAATCGCGGACCGGCCAATTTTTTAGCATAAAACCAGGTACAAAAATGTAACGGAATCAGGACCAGGACCGGAACATCCTGGCCCAGGCCCGGAAAATAGTGAGTCGAGCCTAGGCTTGGACCCGGTTTGGGCCACCCGGCCCGGTACTGTTTGGGCCCGGCCCGGCCTGGGAATCAGGTACCGGTACCGGGTCTAGGCCCAATTTGAAGGGGAAACCGGGGCGGGTACGGGCTTAGGGAATTGAGAACCGGCCCGGCCGATTCCGGGTCTGGTTCGGACCTTTTCAATTTTTTTTGTTTTTTTTGTTTGGGGCTTTGGGCTGGGTTTAAATGGGCTCCAATGGGTGTTTCAGATGGGTTTGTGGGGAGATGGGGGGTAGGGGATAAAATAATCAAGAAAACAAAAAAATTAGAACTGAACCCGACCTAGCCCGGGCCCGGACCGGCACCGGTCAACTACCAGGCCAGTCCCGGTTCTCACAGAAAGTTTTTTGGGCCCGGCCGGGCCTAGGCCCAACCCAGAACCGGACCCAGTTCAGTCCATGACTAGAGAAGCCTGGGCCTCATAAAAAATTTGCTAGTACAGGGCCGTCCCAGAACCGGACCAACCCGATTCCACCCCTAGTTTTATGTGCAAAATAGTTAACAGCACCTGTGACGCCATACATCATTCAAGTTTGGTATGTAATCACTTTGCATTTAAAATTTCAACCGGCAATTCGGCAAACATCCAATTAAGCATGGACCCGATCTGGCCTGGGTTCCTTGAGAATTGAGATATGGGGCCACAATTAGGGATGGACCCGGGCCGGGCCGGTTCCGGTTCCGGGCCGGGCCCGGGCGGGCTTTTTTTCGGGTTACATGGGCCCGGAACCGGCCCGGGTTGATACCGGGTCCGGGCCTAACCGGGCCGGGCCGGGCCGGGCCCGGTTCAATGTTTTTTTTTTTTTTTTTTTTTTGACTTTCTTGTTATCTCCCTACCCCCCCCCCTCACCCCCACGCCCCAAACCTCCCTAAAACACCCAGCCCTACCCTAGGAAAAGAAAAAAAATTGAAAAAACCAAAAAAAAAAAAAAAAATGAACCGGGCCCGGCCCGAACCGCCCGGGCCGGTTCAACAAAAACAGGGCCCGGAACCGGCCCGCCCGACCCGCCAAAACGGGCTAAAAGCCCGGAACCGGCCAACCGGGCCCGGTCCGGTCCGGGCCCGCACAGTAGCGGGCCGGTCCAGTTCCGGGCCGGTTCGGCCCGGCCCAGTCCATCCCTAGCCACAATCATAGCCAAGTTAACCAATTTGTAACGGTTGTTCGGTCGAGAACCATTCTCCAAATTCAGCTCAACGTAAATAACTAATTGGTCTCAGTCCGGTTTCAAAACATGTTCACCCAATCACCCCTATATGCAAATTAGAAACAGCCTAACACCCTCCTGATATTCATCAAAATACAGTCTATCTTCGACCAAATAAAACACATCCCCCCTCCCCTCCCACAAACTAAAATGTGTCATGCAGTGAAGTAGTTACCTTACATTCAAACATTTTTTATGTAGCATTCAACAATTATCCGTCATATATACGTTCAGAAGTGCAAGTTTCTAGTTTACTGCTTAGAACTTGAGAAGACAGGTTTCTTGCATCGCTTCAATCGAGCTTGTATCCTCTTTATATTTTACTTTCACACTTTCAAGCGTTTCTAGGGTGCCACTAAGCATTAGAATCATACAGCAAGATCATCATCAACTTTAAACTCAAATCTCAGACAAGAAATTCCTTCATAGGATGGTTAACTTCAAACACAAATCTTAGTGAAGAAATTCCTTCATAGGATCATCATGATGGACCCTCTTCATCCTGTATGCCTCCATTTCTTCAGGTGTGACCTGAAATTTAAATTACATGAACATTCAAGATTTGCCATTATGGAGAAAATAAAGAGTGAATGCAAAGGTCGTATTAATTACAAAAGCAGCATACCTCATCATTATACTTCACGTTATATTTCCTTTTCCTTTCATCCTTGATAACGTCTCTTTTCCTTTCTTCCTCCTGTTTATAAAAATTAAAGTATGCATGGAATGTGCATTAGAATTAAGAATTAGGAAAATTAAGCAAATGTACAAAAAACCTAGAGACAGTTTGGTCAAGAGGGTTATTCATATTATATGGCAGAATCTACTCAATTTTGTTAAAGAAAAACCGTCTGGAAAAATCCATCTTCAGCCAAATAAGTGATCTCAAAGAGAGAATAAACAATGTTGACAACCAAGGAGGTCCCTAATGCAGAAAGAAATCCAACTGAAGAAAGATTAACCGATGGTCCGATGTATAGAAAGCAGTAGAAACATATGTGGGAGCATAGTACGGTATCATCAACCAAATAACACTAAAAAGAAAAATAAGTAAAATAACACTGACCTTTTTAAGTGCTTCTGCCAATTTTTTGTCATCAAGAACCAGATCATCTGGCACTTCAGTACCCCATGTAGCAAGCTTCTTTTGTTCAGTTGTTGTTTGGGTATCTGGATTAATTATCATTATCAGTTTCAGAACAAAAAGTCATGGGAAAATGTTTGTTGGATATACACAGAGAAGTAATTCAAATAGGAAATGACAACTGACCTTCTGCAGCTTCTTTGCGGGCTATATTGGCCTTCATTAAATCACCAGCAGCTTCAGCTGCTTCAATTCCAGCAGTTCCTGTACAGTAACTGTTTCGAATTGTCTGTTTGCAGCACTTATAACCCCATTGATGGTCCTTCCACCAGGAACCCCAGACACTAGTGTGATTATTTATGTAAACGTCCTCTTCATATTTGCTCCTTGGAAGTGCCATCTCCTGCAGGACAAAAACAATAGTTATATCTTTTTAGAGCTAAAAGAGATTACACTCTCAAAGAAACATTGGAATATTTTCATTCACTCCCTTCCTTACAAAAATCTTTTACATATAAATTACCTGTCCTTTAACGATCCTGCCAGCTCGGTCATACTCAACTTCCTTCTCACTTTGACCCAACAAAAGTTCTCGTGGGAGCATTTCTTCACTGGCTGCATTGCCATATTTCTCCATGATGGTATCCTTTGTTTGGAACTCCATTTTCTCTTTATTGATCTTAAAATTTTTATATAGTAATTCTGCTTGTGATGGAGCTGCTTGCATGTGGATGTCATGACCCTTCTCAAATGATTCCCAGGCATGAATATTGAGTTGCTTGAACTCAAGAGCTTGACCACTCAGTCTGTTTTGGTTATCCCCCTGCTCACAAGACCAGCCCAGAAATCACTTTTCAAATACAAGAACCTGTGTACACACATAGATGCATGCACACACATATACATATACATGGCGGGGAGCGGAATAAACATCAAAGAATTATGGTGATTCTATGATTCATGTGTAAAGATCCCCCACCGGTCAAGTATGGGCTTGGCCGGTGGCTTATAAGCAAGGTGTTCCCTCCTCCTAATCGGCTGGTCTTTTAGGAGTGAGTTCTACACTTGGGCTTATGGCACTGCTATGGGCCTAGTATGGGCTGGGTCCGTAACATCCATGGAGTGGTACCCCCTTGAAACCTTTAAAACAACATGCACGCACATGATATATCAAGGAAACGAGTGATAAAGTGAAGAAGAAAACGTACAGCATAGAACTTCTCATTTGGATCCATATCAGGAAGTGGATCTTCACGCATGGATCGGGTTTTGGGGTCATAGTGAGCCGAATTGACATCAAGGTTAAGAAGATATTTGGCTGTATCTTCTCGGATACGTAGATTTCTGGGGAAAAAAAAGGATTAGGTTTGAAATGTTCAGTATGTTAGAGATGATGCACATAAGGCGGTGATAAACAGAAACAGGGCTCACCTAACTGTCCCGGTACTACCACCACCTGTAGTTCGCACACGCTTTTCAACCTTTGCGAAATCCATCTGCTTACTTTCATCAACCTTTGTTTCATCAACCTTCAAAGCATCTTCCAAATCCTCATCATCACTAGCATCACCTTCTTTGTTTTCATTATTGTTTTTCTCCTCCAATTTTTTAAGCTGTTGTTCCTTCATATATTTCCTTCTAGCTTCATCCCTGGCTTCATACCTTTCAATAACATGGACAAAGGATGCAGCATCAAACCCATTCCAGCGGTCTCTTTTACCATCATAGTCTAGCTCAAAGTTCTCTATTTTCTCATCTGGTGCAATACTTTTCCCTGTCCACTTTGCTCCTAACTTACGAGGTCTTTCCATACACGATTTTACAGTGTGTGTCATTGCTCCACAACTGCAGCATGTTTAGTTAAAATTAGCCATGCATAAGTTTTAAGCTAACACTGCGGACAGGTATAACAGCGATCCAAATAAGCAATTCCAGCAAAGGAATAATTACATCAACAGAAAATCACAGTAAGCCAAGAAACTTTTGGAATAACAAAACTATAATGAAAGAATTCACAGCTCAAACTTACTTTTCACATGCGCCTTTTCTGTACTTGTCAGCCTGATATATCTTGGCACCTCTGTCATACCATGATTTGGTATAATTAGGATCAGATTTCCATTTCCTTTGATGCTTCAAGCTCTACAAAACATTAAAAAACAAATGTATGCATATTATAAGTTATAACCAATCCATAACGATGAGTGCATATATCTAGGAGAAAAAGTAAGGATATAAGAAAACATACAGGTTTCTCGGCATTGAGATACCAAGGTGCTGAGGACATATACTGTGGAATGTGAGGGTTAATTTCATTTCCATCTTCATCAACCTCAGCAGGAGCAAGCCCAGCCTTTCGTGCTTCTTCCAATTCTAACTGTTTCCTATGGTCCTCCCTAGATTTGAATGCCACTGCGTTTACCCATATATTGATATTAATTATCGATACCACGTAAAATGGGTATTATGAATCATTTATTGGGCTATATATAGTAACCAAATAAGCTGTCTGGAAATACGATTGAGATAACAGAATAATCAAAAAACGAAACCCAATTCTGCATATTTAAGCATATAGAAAAAACTGAGGTAAATAAAATAGATTTGAAACAATCAATCCAAAACAGATCAGCACACAGGTTGGTTGGCATCGAGGTACTGGAATGAATAGGAAAAAGCACACATGCAATAGAATATACGAAGTATATGGGTAAGAGAAATACCAGATGCAGTAGCCATGGTTGCCGATAGATATACGAAACCCTAGCTGAGACGGCGTGAATTGCCGATAGATATACGAGATCTTAGCCGATGGAATGGGACGACAACCTTAACGCCGCTTTCCTACCTCAGGGGTGCTATGACTATGCTCTTGCAGTATCACGCTTCGCGTCGCAAAGAGATTGGGGATTACTGCTTCGTTTCTTCTTCCACGGATAGGAGACTGGTTTTCTCCTCCAATATACGAAGTATTATCTACAATTTTGTAAAATACAAAAAAATGACTATTTTTTTATTTTTCCCAAAAATATAACTAATCTTTTGTTTAATTTATTCATCTTTTTATTGTGATTTGTTTCAAATGTCAGCCCTTGAGATGGCAATTTCGGCCGACCCGTTGGATACCCGCACCGGACTGATTTGGTCAAACTGGGGAAAACCGGTTTGACTGGGGAATGGGTATGGGGCGGGGAATACCCGAATTTTTTAAATGGTTAATGTTGCGGTTATGGTTCTATACTAATCCGCCCCGTTATCCGCCCCGTTCACTAATGGTGCGGGTACCCGCACCGTTACCCGATCTGTAACATTATTAATGAATTATAACTTTTTATATATAAGAATAATAAGTATATATGCTAAATTGTGTATATTAAATAGTATATATCATATAAATAATGCTAAAAAGTATACTACTTTTTAGGCCTAAAACTAAATATAAGCTTAAACTTGTTTTTGGAATTTGGATTATGGGATGATTACTACTCCCTCCGTCCCGCTATGATTGTCCCATTTTACCATTTCGGTCCGTCCCACTAAGATTGTCCCATACCTTATTTGGTAAAGTTTGTGTGATTCTAAATCATTCCTACTTTATTCTTACTTTATCAATTTAATATCAACCACATAAACACACTTTTATTAATAATCGTGTCACCTTCTCTTGTCCCAAACTTAGAGGGACGGAGGTAGTACCTTTTTATTATGTTACGAGAGATATTAGGTGCATGTCATACTAATGTATTTAGGTCAGTCTGCCTGATTGCTTAAATATTTATTTTTGTATGTTTTATGGTGCTTTGAATATATAAATAACAAGTAGGATTAGAAATTGGTTATTTGTTTTCCAAAACAATGGTTATTTGGCATCATTTGGGGAAACGGTTATCCGTGGATAAACCGATTCCCCGTTGGGGCGGGTACAATTCAAATAAAAATTACCCGAACGGGTAATGGGGCGGTTTTAGGGCAAACATTTATCCAACAGGGCGGTTTCGGTTTTAGGTGTACCCGTCCCTGATCCGCCCCGTTGCCATCACTATTCAGCCCCAACCCCTTCCCCCACATCTACCTAGCCACACCCCGAACCACTGCCAGAAAAGTCACTGGAATTTTATGATGATTTTTCTACATTTTTCGTTTTTCAAAACAAACGCCGCAAAAAGTCTATCAAAAAATCTTCCAACTGTCATAGTGACATGTTTCACAACGGCAGTGACATACAATCGGGTCTGAACACTACATTCCGATTCAGACCCTACCCATTGACAAGCCTTTCTGGCAGTGGCCATTGACCGACTTTGATCACTGATCGAGAGCTGTCACGGGTGCGTGTGACCATGGTCGGTGCGTAGTAGTCACTTTAGTTTACGTGATATAAAAGTTGCACGAGTCTCTTTCTTTCGATTTTTTTAAAATCGATCTTCATTTTGTTTATAGTTAATTGTTGAGAGAATTCCTAGATATGAGTAAAAATGTTTTGAAATTCCAAAATATGACTATCATGTTTTTTATTCCCTGAATATGAGTAAATTTGTGTCAAGTTTGGCATTACTGGCCTTTTAACATGACATTTTTTTTCAAACTTGGGAGATTACTCTTGTTTAGGGAATAAAAACATGAAAGTCCTCTTTTGGAATTTCAAAACGTTTTTGCTCCTATTTGAAAATTTCTATTTATTATTTGGGAAAGTTTCCGAAAAAGGACTAAAACGGTTTGAAAATTCCAAAATAGGACTGTCATATTTTTAATTCTCAAAATATGAGTAATTACTGCCAAGTTTAGATAATAGTGTCATTCTTAGAGATTTTTTCTTCTTTCTCTTCCCATCCAAAGTATTCTCAATCTTCCAAACTTCAGTGTTTCCTTTTCGTCAAATTCCCAAACGTGCCCTTGGAAACTTCTCGTAATATCATGCAAGCACCCGACCGGCTAAGCCTCATCAAGGACCCAACTGCCACGACAAACTCGTACCATTTCGGTACACTAACTCAAGAGCACACCTTCCAGATGTTTGTCAAAATTCCCAAGTGAAAGTTTTCCCGCAGGTACTTAATCTGCATGCTGCAGCCGTGCAGCGTGCTCAATAATGCGACATGTTTTTATCAAACTGGATGGCTAATTATCAATCCACCAGCCGTTTCTTCAACAACATTGGTCAGTACTCTTAACTCCATGCCTGTTCTAATCACTAGCTCATCTTTTCAATTTATGCCAAAGCAGCTATTCTCTGCGCTCGCGTAGTCGCGTGCATTAGTTTTCTTGTGCGCGTATGTATGCGAAATTAATCTCTGTTGGTCATGGTGTGAGTTGGATTGGGAATGTTTACAGAACTCTAGTGAACCAAATGCATCAATTTTATGGGGTTTTCTGTCGATTGAGAATACAATTAAAAAAGAAAGATGATTACTTCCAGACCACTCTCTGCTCCACACGCGCATTGTATGGTTGATCAAAGGATGTGCTCCGCTTTCTCTTTCAAATTTGTTGAAACATGCTTATAAAAGTCATAATTATACTGAATTCACACAACTAGGTCATGATACACATCAGCCATACCATGCTAAAAGATTGAAACTGCCCTAATATTTCTGTGTGACTCGTAACATTCTCATTAGTACTCATTCTGCTCAACCATGTTGATCAGGGTCACTCGCGGACTCACGGTTCAAAATTCAAATAACTCTAAAAGATTGCATCCATCTGATTAACTGATCTAACCTGTGATCTGATAAACTCATTTTTCTTTCTGTACTATTTATATATGCATTTCTAGCATAGCCCCCACATAACACCCATTGGTTATTATAGCGTGGATCCTAATTTTTATTGTTTTCTTCATTGTTTGCAGATAGCTGTATTAGGTCCTTGAGAAAACACGAGCCATACCAAAAGAGTGTCTGCAATGTGCTTAGCCGATGCCATTCACAATGGTCAAACAAAGAGAAGTTAGGAAGTAAAGGTGTTGGAGTGGAGAGTGAAGCATCAAAACCTAAAGGCAGAAACACTGATCTTGAGTCCAGGTGCAACACTTACCATCTTGAAAATGATAATTATACTATTGAGACTTTAACATTTTCCCATTATTAGCATATGTAGTGTTGAAGGGGAGCCTCGGCGCACCGGTTACGGTGTTGCTGTGTGACCGAGAAGTCATAGGTTCAAGTCTTGGGAGCAGCCTCTTCTCAAAATGATAAGGGAAGTCTTGCTCCATATACACCCTTGTGGTGGGACCCTCGCCTAGCGGAGATGCCAATATGCACCGGGCTGCCCATTTATTAAACATTTGACGTGGGTTTGCCTTCCATGACCCATGCATATTCTCTTTATTACCAGTTTACCACACATTGTCATTGTAATACATATATGCATGGGTGCTCAATGAAGGTGTCCAGAAAAGTATTACATCGTATCTCTTTATACCAATTTCCTTACTCTCATTAATGGTTCTTGATTTAACATATATCAGCAAAAAGTGGACATTTGAACCTGTTTGGATTTCTAAAGCAATAGAGTCTGCATTTCAACTATGTAAGTACCGGCTTTAACTTCTGGTCTGCTACTGTTATGGGTGAAAACACATTTATAATGTTTGAGGTGGGAGATATAAGATCAGTTAGATAAGGCAGAATTAAGCACTTTAGTGGATATAATTGTTTTATTTCCTTTGAAATTTGAGTGAGCACTTCATCATATTTTAACAGTACAAGAATGTTCGGATCACCACAATCATAGGGTATATTTCCTCGATTGTAGTATTAATATACTCTGTATTTAAACATATAAATAGAAAAGGATCATCAAGTATCACTAAAGATCAAATAAGTTTATTTAGTTAATTAGTTTTGGCCTATCTATCATTTCCCTGTACATGTTCTTACCTTCTAATATTTCCTCCATGAAGGGGAGCCTTGGTGCACCGGTTACGGTGTTGCTCTGTGACTGAAAGGTCACGGGTTCAAATCTGGGGAGCAGCTTCTTGTAAAAAATGACAAGGGAAGAATTGCTCGTTATACAACCTTGTGGTGGGACCCTCTCCTTGCGGGGATGCCAATGTGCACCAGGCTGCCCCCCTTTATTCTTGGGATTCCATATGGATTGTAATTGACTGACCTCTTTTGCTTTCCTTTGTGTTTAACTATATACATCTTTAGAAGTCAAACAATCTTAATCACAATCTAACAATGTTTATTATTACACATTCCTCAATCCTGAATGCTGCCTTTTGGGTTTCTAAAGTGATTCTGTATTTGTAATTTAAAATTGGCTCCTACAGAATTGATTCTATTAATTTCTGATCTTTTTTTGGGTGGGAATGGAATGTGTGTAAGGGAATGGAATCGGAGACAAACCGCCACCCATCAATATGTCTCTTACAGAGATTTACGCTAGCATTCAGCGGAGCAAGCTGGGTCTTCAAGACTGGAGTCTTAGTGATCTTACCATAGGCCTTTATCTTATATATCTCCAACAAGCATCCACCAAGCCTCTCGAGGATATAAAGGGTGAACAGATATCTTCTGAACGAATTGTAATTTCAAACTCCTTATCATCTTTCATTTTACATTCATTTTGGTTTTAACCTCAGCTTATTCAGCTATTCTACTCATAAGCCGAATAAGAAACTAATGGCTTACTTATTTGGCTGGAATTGGTGTTACCAAAAACTTTTCCTTACAGAAGATTCAGCCATTTCAGCCAATAACGCTTAACCAAACAATCTCTTAATAATCTTGTTTTATTAGGTCCATGATCTTAAGTACCACAGTGAACTAGCAAAGGGTGCATACAGAGATAGTACTGCTTGCCTGGCAAGGAACACTATGCTTAGAGAAATTGATATTGTGAAATTCATAAAAGTCTCAAGCTTGTTAAGGCCTGGATATTACATTGCAGTTGACAAGAGAAGAAGACTGGTCATTCTGGGAATCCGTGGAACAGATACAATTTATGACATCATAACCGATATTGTTTCATCAAGTAATGAAGAAATCACATTGGAAGGCTACTCAACACATTTTGGGAGTGCTGAGGCTGCTCGTTGGTTTCTTACTCATGAGATGGAAACTCTAAGGAAATGCCTTCAGAAACACAAGGTGATCCAAATATCACTTTATTTTTTTGCAAAATGAATGGTGTTCCTTCCATCCCTGCCTACTCTCCCACTCCTCCAAATGAGTCGTATTTAAAAAAAAAGCTAATTTTAATGTTATTTTCCAAAAAAGAGTTAGATACAAGTTAAATATGGTAAGTTTATTTAAACTGATGATCAATTTTTACAAATATAAGCCTGATATCGTGATTTTAACTTTATATCTTGCCAAAACATAAAAACTGTACATTGAACAAATATGGCTTTTTTTGGCTGTAGGTAGGAAATGATACTACCGACACTCCTGTATAAAATCCTAATTTGACTTTTTTGCTCTTTGACTTCTTAAGCTTCCATCATACTACTTGATGGAAGAAAATACGTAGTATATTGGTAGAGGGATATTAAATGAGGGTAGGAATGTAAATGAACCACTTTAATCAAACAAAAAAGATGACTTTATATGGGGATGGGCAGAAAAGGAAAATAGGAACGATGTTCAGGGACTGAGGCAATGAGGGGTGTATTTTTTATTTAAAACGAGACAAAGTAGTCAGCCTAGTTTATGTTCGCATTTTTTACTTATTTAGTTATTTGCACAACTTTTTACTGAGACTAATCCATATACAGGGGTTTAGGATAAGGCTGGTCGGTCATTCTCTTGGGGGTTCAATAGCATCCTTGTTGGCAATAATGCTCCATAAGAAATCACAGCAGGAGCTTGGATTCGACCCTGATATTGTAACCGCAGTTGGAATTGCAACCCCACCTTGCGTCTCCAGAGATCTTGCTGAAAAGTGTCATGAGTATGTTGTAACCGTGGTTATGCAGGTCAGTATGAGTGGTGGCAATTTTGGTTTTAGCTGTTCTTATTCCAATAAAATTGGTTAAAACCATATTCTTAAGCATTTTCGAAATACAATACATTGGGTGCAGGATGACATTATTCCGAGGCTAAGTGTTGCTTCTCTTACAAGGCTGCGGAATGAAATTATTCAAACTGATTGGTGAGAAACAGTTAGGTTGCAGAGACACTAATCATTCATGGGAGTACTTGAGATAATCTATAGGCTGTAGAGTATAAATTTTTGTGCCATGAATACTTCTCTGCTGCAGGTTGAGGCTTACAATATGTTATGCAAGAAAAAGCTTCATCTAAGTTCTGTTTGGGTGAAGGGTTTTGGAGGGCAGAGTCCATCCTTCATATGCAATTGAGATTTTAAAAAAATTGAAGGAATAACATAATAACTGATCATATAACATATCAATCACCATTTTATTTGTTTCTTTAAACACTGTAGTTAGAAAGTATTTAGGTCCCACTCTTGTTAGGTCATTTTCTCTTTTGATCCTTAGACTTTCTTTCTTTTCATTTTTGGTACACCACTATTAATTCTTGCCACTTCTGATCACTCATTTGGCCATTTTTTGTACAACTCCGGTTGATTTTTGCAGGATAAGTGATTGGTAGGATCACAAGTGCTTAGAAAGTGAAAAGTCCATAGTCTAAAATAGTGAAAGTGACCCAATAACTGCATGACAACAATGCAGTGTTATCTTTACTTTGTTAAGATATAGACTAAAATAATTCAAAGTCTGCCCTCCAAAACCCTGCATCCACACTTACCCTTATACGACCTTTTCACAGCTTTGTAATTTAGGGCTTGTCATAATCTCTTGGGCTTTATTTTTCTAAAACAAATGTCATGAATATGTAAAAACATTAGTCAGATGTGCTGAAAATATGTATTGGCTTTTCCCTCAACTCTGTGCTTTGATGTAGGGGAGATGTGTTTGAAAAGGGTGACTGGAAAGGTGTGGTTGATTTGTTCACAAATGCAAGGCAGGTTGTCTCTTCCATCCATGATGTTGCCCGGAAGCTGGCTGACTATGCCAAGTCCAGAGGCCAAACAGGGCACTCTGGTTAGTCTCAGTCCCCAAATATCTTTCCAATTGATTTTCTTAAATTTATACACCGTTGTGGTGGGACCCTTCCCTGGACTCTCGCCTTGTGAGAATGCCTTCATGCACTGGGCTGCCCTTTTTCCCACCCGTGTGTAAGCGTGTTACTCCTAAGCATGCTCCAATATTAAGCTGAAGTGTTTTCTGATGGTTGTAGTTCTAGTGCCACTTTGGTAGGAGAGTGTATCAGCTCATGAGCTGATCTTGTTTTATGTGCAAACTTATTGTACTTTGTCTTCATTGGCGCAATCGGTTGCTAATGGAAAAACGTAGAGCTGAAATGGACACTGTGTTTGGAAACTCTTCACTAGAGGGGGGGGGAGATAAGAATGATTTTAACTTTTTATTTTCATTTCATATAATCACCTCCTCTTTTTATATTGAGGTTAAATGAGAAAGGAACGGGGAAGTAGATGGGTGTTATTGTATGATGTAGCTCCTTCCTGTTTGTGAAAAAGTCATAAGATTGTTCACGCTTTTAACCATCATACGTACAATGTGAACTTTTTATGTTTGAAAAGTGATAAAAAGATAAATGTTTAAATATAATGATAAAAAGGTAAATTTCATAACAAGCAGTGGTTTTTCCTTCTATTTTGGAGAGGAAAAGGACACAAATAAGGTCTATTTTCCTTTCCATCCTTGGTTTGAGATCTAATTTTCTCTCATTTACAAAAAAAAAAACTTCAAATGTTTTCTATAACGATTATGATTCAGCCCAGCCAACTACAATTTCAGCAATTGCAACCAACTTCTATTTCACCAAACAGGCTCTTGTAATTCTGTATTTGACTGAGTGATCAAATATTTACTTGGTAAGTAACTATGGGTTTCAGGTGCTCTCCCGGAAAAGGAAGTCACAACCGCTTCAAGTGTGCCACCTGCCTCCATGTCAGCAAGCAATACCTCTTCACTTGTAAAGCATGAAGATGAACTTTTTGTACCCGGGAGCGTATATTATCTAAAGAGGAATAATACCGAAAAGAGAAACCGTGATGATCAATCTATGGAGTTCTTCACGCTCTGGAAAAGACAACCGGGGGAACATTTCCAGAGGATACTCCTCTCCAATAATATTATCTCGGACCACAAATGCGATAGCCATAATTATGCATTGCGGGATGTACTTAAAGGTATCATCCCTGCTAGTACCCCTGACGAAGCCATTTTCAGATAGTTGGTATTCGTTTATGTCGAGAGAAAGACATAATGAGACTGGTATATTCTTACTAGCAAGTCTTAGAAAGTTAGATCATTTATGTATGATGAAATAAAGGATGTGTTGTTACAAATACAGATTTGTGTTTGTTTTTATACTTAGGTTGCTTAAAATTCTCACAATTAAGTAGCCGCTAGAATTGTACTTTAGTTAATCAAATGAAGTAAAGAATGTGTTGTTGCAAATACAGATTTGTGTTTGTTTTTATAGATGGTTGCTTAAACCTCTCACAATTGATTATCCGTTAAAACTGTTTAGTTAGTCAAATGAACAATCTTAATAATAAGAAAAAGTAAAGTTATACATACATATGAAAAAGTAACGTTATTTTGTCAAACAAATTTATGATTATTATAACAAAAAACTTATCTAGGTAAAGGTAGTATACAGAAGTAGGATACAAAACATTTTGATATACTCATATACATATATTATCAATTTCTCATCATTCTCAGTGCCACAGCTTGAAGGTCTCCCAAGTCAGTCCTCCTACTGCCACTACAGTTGATGTTGTTATTGGTACCATACTGATAATTGTGTTCACCTTCATCGTCTCTTGTAATTGGTAGCTTCATCTTCATTCTTTCTCGTTTCCCCAAACTCATTCCTTCATCGAACAGATCGAAGAAGCTCTGTGGGGAGCCCACTGAATAAGCATCAGCGGTAGCTGCCACCCCCGCGGTCGTTCCACCTGTGGTATAAACCGAGAACTGGTTTCCTGCATTATTGTTGCATCCCAAGTTGTTGTTACTATGGAGAGCTTGAGCTAGTTGAGCCTTCACTTGCAACAATTGAGCTTGCAAACTCGCCACCTAACCCATATAATTATTAACACGTCATTGTGCCCACGAAAACTAAATTGTATGCTGATTGATTTTGGAAGATGATGATAGTAATAACAATAATACCAACAAAACAGAAATTGTTCTAAATAAGAGTAAACACAAATGTAATATTTTAAATTTGAGTAATATGATTTCCTTCCTACATATGAGTATTTAAATTTGAAAAATAATGTCAAATTAATCTTTAATAATGTCAAATTATAGCAATATGATTTCACGATGACAATCATGTACTATATATTTAGATGGAAAATGTTGTACTCCTTTTTTGATAAAGTAAGAAAGTTTTAAAATCACGCAAATTTTATCAAATTTGGTACAAGACAATCTTAATGGAATGGAACGTAAACGAAATATGAAACAATCTCAGTGGGATGGAGGGAGTAATATATAGTACTCCGTAATAGTAATGTGTGTTTGTGTGTCCATGAACTCGTACAATATATATAGAAATTTGACCATTTTAAAATAGTTTAAGAACTTAATTGAGTGTTCTTTTACTTCAAGGGCTTAATTGATTTTTTGGATATACTTGGAGGGTCAATTTGAAAATTTTTCCTATATTTTAAAAAGCATTTCTTTGAAATGTGGTTAATATTGCTCATCTCATTTTAGGTAGATTCAGTCATTTAAATTTATGTTCTTAATGTCAATATCAGATTATCAGGTGACAGAACAATTATAAAGGTAGTTTAGAGCCCGTTTGGTAACACGAAAATCGGTTATTTTGGCTGATTCAGCTGAAATTTATGATGTTCTGTCTGAAGTGACTGCATTGGCGGATTCTGCTGATTTAAGAAAAAATATTTTCAAAATATATTTTATTAATGAAATAAAGAAAAAATTATATGTAAAATAGCTAAAATGATCCTTTAGAGTAACTTCAGCCGATACAACCAGAAAAGTAACTCCAACTTTACTTTTTCTGCTTATTACACAATTCAGCGCGCGAAAACAAAAGTTATGTGTTTGATAAGTCGAAAAAACAGTGTTGTCAAACGGACTCTTAGTTGTACTTGTGGGGTTAGTTGTATCATTGTATGTAAACCATAATAAGTGTGCATTTAGAAAAAAACTGACCATACAGCGAGTTATTACTCAAAAAATGCAAAAATTATTTATCATAAAGCTTCCATCACTTTTGCATACGGAGTACAATTTTGTATTATTCCGTGCAATTGTGCAACTATAAGAGTATAATTTGGACACATCGAACAATTTTGAAAGTGTGAATGAAATTATCTCTTCAATGCATTCTTTCATTAGTTCGGTTAAGTTGACGTGGAACCACGACTTTGAAACCGACTGTTGGATTTCAGAAAGAGTGTTTAACATGCTGACTCATTAAAATAGGGTGGGTAATGGGTAAGCGGTTGACATTACGCATTGGAGATGTATGTTTACTTTCTTTCGATTAGCATTTTACGTGGATTGAATGCAATCTCTTTATTTGACATTTGACAAAATTTAACTTCTTTTGATAGAAGAGCATTGGAGATGCTCTAACCGTACATAATTAGCTTCTTCCATCGTAAATGTCTATTCGAATAGATTCATCATCTTTATTTTTTGTATTATATATTTATACTAGTATCTTTATCCGTGTTGTGCACGGTATAAAACAACTTTATTATATTTTACTATATGTGTGTGCGGGATAAATAGCTTCTTCCATCGTAAATGACTAAAACAACTTATTTAGTCATTTATAACATTGGTTGATAATGTATATTCTTATTTATTGAGTACGTCTTATTTTTTAACTAATTTTCTAAACAGGTTGACAGTCTATATTATCCAATTAACTGATCTGATACATGTTTGATCTATGTGTACTTTGCAACTGTCGAATTATGACCTGGTTTGATCTAATATAGTTTAATCTGTTTTATTCCAATATAAGACAATACCAGTCTAATTAAAACAATAAATAAATGTTATGGAGTTTGTGCAATTTTATTATAAGTTATCACTCTGGATTAAGGGAAAAATAATAATTATCTCAAACTTTAAATGTGTGTGAGAAAATATCCCAATTTCATATGCAATATATATAACCCAATTTCGATATATATATATTTTATTTTTTCAACATGACTATGCGGTCTTTAAAAATATAAATTTATTGAAATAAGTGCATAATTTTAAATACTCTAAAAAAATTTATATAAGTTTTTAAAACATAGAAGTTTTTAAAGTGTTAAATTATTTTTTATTTTTGTATATTCAATATTAGTGTCATTTGAAAGATAATAAAAAGTTATGAATTTTGGTATAGTTTTTATTACAATTAGAGTACAAAAGAAAAAGTTATAATAGTTTGAAAAAACATGAGATTTTTTTTGTGGGGTCCTAAATAATAGGAGTTGTACATAACATTGCTATAATTCCCATATGAAATAGGTATTGAAAGTTTTGTGCATAACATGAGATATTTTTTGTGCATATCTTTCCTTTAATTTGAAAGTTGATTTTAAAACAATAATTGTGGAGTTGATATGTGGCAATACTTTCCCTAATTGTAGCCTTCAAATGCATTATCTGATCTATAGATATACTCCGTATAGTATAGTGTGTTGTTAAAATGCAACCTACCTAGCTAGAACACTACAAAAAAAACAAGATTCATGAGAATTTTTTGTAGGGATCACCAAAATTCATAGAGGATTCATGAATATGCCTAATTTGTATCAAAAACATTTTGACAAGAGATATTTGACATGAAGTCATCGATCAATTCGTGTCAAATCCGTGTCAATCTCGTAATTTTTTGTATGGATCAATGGTGAGTCAATCTTGTATGTATTAATGTATAGTGTATGTTGCTAAAATGCAAGCAAAAAAATTAGCATAGTAATACCGATTCAATACCCTCTTTATAAGTAAGGATTCAGAGGTACGATCCTAGATCAGAACAGATCTCGTTCAAGTAAGGTCGTACGATTGAATGCATTTTCATATAACTCTAACACTCTTAGCTTCATCCTTGAGCACCAACGCTGTACGCAGTGGCGGATGTCTTCTATGCAAAGGTGTTCATGTGAACACCCAAAAATATAAAATCAATGGGAATATATGTGCATGAACTAAATTAATAGATCATTTATTAGTATTGTAAGGAGAAAATGTGTAATTTTGAACACCCAAAATATGAATACTAGATCCGCCACTGGCTGTACGTTATTTAGATCGTATATTAATAGGCGCTTCACTATCATAAGCTCACAGCGGGTTGCGTGATTGGTCATTTAATATAATGTTGACTCCATAGACAGTCATCAAACAATATCTACTGTTAACGCCCATAGACGACAGTCATCAAACAATACTTATTGTTCAAACTTTTCTGGTGTGAGACATTTAACATTTACTTTTGAGATATACTTTCAATATTTATTTTACTAAAACAATATAAAAAAGAGATAATTACCCTAGATATTATTAAAACTTTATCACTTTCCCAATCTATGACCTAATGAGTTTTTTCTCAAAATATAATTAAAATTCGTAATAATTAATTAATATATTAATAACTAATTAATTAAATTATTTTTTATGACTAATATGTCCTTAGACTAATATTATAAAAGTCTAATATCCTATTGCTTCTAACCCTAAACCTTGTAGAGTTGTAGTGATGTCCCCTACGTACAACTGCCCACCCACGCCGCCGCCAGACATACAACGCCGCCACCGCCCTTGCAAAGCCACGCCGCCGCTCGCCACGCCGCAACACCACAACCGGAGAGTTTGCCAGTCATTCAATTCGCGCAAATCTGGCGGCCTGAGAGCGAAATAGCCAAGCCAGAAGATGTGCGGCCTACCTGAGAAGACATCCGTCCGAACGACCTGGTGCCATGACGTCGTCAACGGCCGTCGCTCGCCCAACAACTTCCGCCCACAGTCCAGTCGCGCTGCTTCCACAGATGTCCGGTCTGAGAGCAAAATCGCCGAAATCACAGATCTAGAGCCGTGGAAGGGATTCGCCTCACTTTTCGATAGGTTGATCTTGAAGTTGGAACTCAAACCCATTCAGAAACGGCGGCTTCAGAATTAGGGAAGGGGAAACAAGAAAGAGACACCCGTGAATAGTTGTTCTTCTTACCTTTTCTATCGTGGGAAATTGGAAAAGCCATACTGGGTGAAAAGTGCTCGTTCTTAATTTTTCTATTTTTTAGGTTATGGTTGATTGAATTGGGGTTTACATTAAATATGGGCATTGAAAATTGGTAATGAAAATAGCCATAAGTGTTGAATATGACAATGAATATCGCAATAAATAATACTATGCATTGTACATAACAATGAATTGAATGCATTGGGAAATTTGTTAGGCAGTGATTATGACTAATAATTTTGCCATGCAACGTAAT